AAAGCTTTTAAGAATAAATTTTAATTTATTTTCTCTTTACATTAAGTAGCTACCTGCACATGCATTAATTTTTAAAATGAATGTATATTGCAATTAGCATATTTTAAAATAACAATTAACAATAAATATTTTACTTTTTTTCAATCTGACTACCATTTGGCAATTAGTGATAGAAAAATAAATATTAAATTGTCAATTTCTTTTTAAAAGATATTTTAGGTATGAAAGAATTTATTAAAATAAGTTCAACTAAAAAATTACAAAGATACATATTTACAAAATTTCTTTACAAGGAAACAAGAATTATAAACGTTTTACAGTCCCAATTTCGGTTTGCCAAAAAGGAGATGATAATTTTAAAAAAAAATTAAATATCATTATAATAAATAATATATTATCTTCAATCAGGATTATATAGTTTAAACTTAAGTTCTAAAAAAAATAAAGAATGTTTCAACTCCAAGATAGCTTTTTTTTTGTGTTTCAAGTGAACCAATGAATGCAATTTCCTTTTTTAAAACTTATAATACTATATCTCAATAAATAGTATTTAAATTAACATTTTACTTTAAGTATAACTGCCTAATATAAAAAAAATAATAATTTATTTTTTATTTTTCTTATAGATTGGAGATGGAATTGAGAAGAAAAGACGAGAGATAAAAGCATCCAGCCTCTTTTCTCTGCTAGTACCAGCTCCACTGACTGGATCCATCTGGACGACAGTAATAATCTTAGTCGGATGGAGGATATTGGCAAGGAACAGATGAATGGACCAATTTTGCCCATTTTTCAAAAAATAATTGACTTATTAAGTTTTAAAAAACTGTAGTCAGCTTTTGTTTAGTATTAATTTTATTTTATATGTTTGATATATGTATTTTTTTGTGTTTTTATTTTTATTAAAGGAAACGGTTTCCAAAGATGGCTAAATCACTTTATATTGATCTCATGTAATGGTTAAGAAGTGTAAATGAGGAAGAGCCCCAAGGCTTACATGACTGTAATCCTCCTCTCCTGTACAGTTCCCCTGTGTATAGTTTTTTCTTTTTAGTTTTCAATTTTTTTCTATAATTTTTTTTTTCATTTTTTGGAGACTTCTATGAAGCTCTTGACAGTTTTCAAATGATCTCGGAATGGTAGAATGCATACAGTTTTCCTGAAGGAAACATGTTGCTATCTATCAGTGTACATAGTTCTCAAAAAAAATTTCTGGTCGTTTTCTCATTCCACGGTTGACATATTTCATGTACTTTTCTTTATGTTTTTTTTTTTTTAATAATATCCTGTAATACAGTTGTGTCCTGGGAAAAGGCAAGGATTAAATGTATATAATATAAATGGTGTTCTTCTATATTTTTAGTCAATATTGTATTCTGTTAATAATATATAAATATATTATATGTTTGTGGCTATATAAAAGCCGTTTTGTGTGCTTGTACATAATGAGCTTTGGCCGTTTGAGGCGATGTAAATGTTCTGAAAAGCATGCTGTGGAACGTACCCACATACTGCTTGGCTCAGTACAGCTCTTGTCTTTTACACTTTTACCTTCTGTAACTTATTAAAAAAAGGATTTTATGTCATTATTTATTACCATTATAAATAGTAAAGTTTTGTATTCAGTTTTCATTTTCATTAAAATTTATAGCTAATTTAAAAGACAAGTGTTGTAGAGTTACTTAAATGTACGGACCACGCACATCAAAGCATTCTGTGATTTTGCTCGTGCTTTCGAGTGAATTCCTGTCCAATGATCTCAAAAGGGTAGCATTGCCAATGCTTCCTTTTTTTTCATTTTTATTTAGTATATATAATTATTACCCCTAGTCAGTATAAGTCTTAGACTAGAGGTTAGATTTAAGCATTTGTTGTTTTATTTTATTTTATTATTTTTTTTATTTAATAAAAATAAAACAAAACCATTGACCAATTTTAAACAGAAAGGAACTATATTTCTAACTTTTGGAAAAGGCCTACAAAATTGTGATCGTAACTTTTTGGCTCAGGTAAAAATGTTACTATTGGCAAAGATGTGCATTTATAAATTTATTTTCATGTCATATTTTATATATGAAACATACCGAATTAAAATATTTTGGCTATAAAGATTTGCATGTTTTTTAATAAAATACTTAATCGATTGTACATTTAGTTTTTATAAGATAAGATCATTTAGCCATCAATGATTTCTTATAAACCCAAGGATTGTATGTTCACTTAATTTTAGTAAAATTTTCTTTCTTTCTTTTTATTTCATCTTTTTATGTTACTTTAATATATTTTTATAGGCGTCTGATGTAATTATTACTATGACCCAAACTCAATCTCTACCCAATGGTCTTTCACCCTGTACATTTTCCATTTTTGTATCTAGTAGAATTTATTATCTTTATTGTAAACAAATATTGTTTTTTACTATTAATTGATTGCATATTGTAAAGGTTTATAAATAAATTTATGCCAAAATGGTTTCCATTCTGTAACTTGAATTTTTTTTTCCCCAATAAAAATTCAACAATTATTAAAACAAATGTGTTAATTATAATGAATAGGATGATGACAATAGGAGCTAACATCCATTAAAATATTTTAGTAAATATGAACTGATTCATAACAAACATTATTTAAATAACAAATCGACAGCTACACTGCAAAGCCTATAAGTACAATTTAATGAGAATGAGCAGTTTTGGGCTTTGTCAGTTATTCTTAGCTTCAGACATATTCATGAAAACAAACTAAAAACATTGTTTAGAACGTTACATCTTCGTCGTGTGGCACTATTTTGTTTTACAAATAATTTTTAGTTTTGCACTTGCAGTGTGGCTGTCGATATACTATTTGAGGAAATTAAATCAATTATCAATTATTAAATCAATTAATTAAATAAATGAATTCTAAAGTTCATAGATTTAAACAATGTTTTAATTTTTCTTATCATTTTTATCAACAAAGTTATCTTTCAGTATTGAATACTATTATATTGACTGCTTAGTAACACTATTAATTGAAGGTGAATAACATAAGTTAATATTTTAAGGTAATTCTGGGTTAATATTACTGATTTAAATAAGAACTGTAAAAACTTGTGTCCAGTGGCCTGACTGCGCCTTAATCCAAATATTTTTTCTGCGCATTCCTTCTCCGCAGAACGATTACCAATGGATAATTATTCCTTAGACACTACCTAATCAATCAACGATTCTCTTCAATATATTACGTACAGTGTAATGAAGCTTAAAATATCTAATCCACAACATCCCTCCCTCCCTGCAGGCTCTGCCTCCCAATTTGCATTGCATTGGTTTTATTTACACCACTAGTTGAGTCTCACGTTTTAAAATTCAGTTAATAATAAATAGGAACTAAGACTGAGTTTGAGATTAATTTGATGCTGTAAATGAACCTATTATTTGATAGTTTAACAAACTGTCTTATAATTTTTACTTTACTCCTAAACAACATCGCTTAAAGAAATATTTTTCAATAAATACACACTATTTAATAATAATGTTAGTTATGAACTGAAGAAAAATCTCATCAAAAGTTGCAAAATTAGAGTTATAGTTTACGTATGTTTCTTTTATCCTGTTCTTTTGAAATAATATAATGAAATGCATGTTAATTTAAACTTAAAAATTACATTCTTAAATAGAATTATGTCTCATTATTTTCAGGTTTTTTCAATCTGTCATTCCTGTAACTACAATGGAATAATTCACCTTAAATAATCACTACAACATTTTATTAAAAGGGTACAAGATATATACAATGCAATAAATGTGTATAAATCTTACCTTGATAAAAATTCTGAGGGTTGCAGGAGAAGTAATTGAAATGATTGATGATATATAGATTAAAAATTTATCATTTGAACTTTTTGAGAATCACTGAACTAATAAAAACAAACTAGAATAGGCAGAAAGACAAATAAACCATTTTAAACTTAACTCCACACTGATAACGGAAGAACAATACAAAGAAAAAATGTCAATTATCTAAAACAAGCCTGAAAAACTGGCGCTCATAACCTTCTAGATCTTTCGACCATATAAGTTATGTATAAAATATACTGAAAAGACTATAAATATTGTTTTTGCAATGAAATTAAATATCAATAATTAAAAAAATCATTAATTTAGTATAAAGTTTCTTTTCATTCTTGTTTAATCTTTTAACTAATAATAAAACTTCTTTATGATGCTAGAAAATTAAAGTTTGAAATCATATTTCACTAATCATTGTTAGTACTTATATATTTAAAACTTTAATGAATTATTTCAAGCAATAACAACAAATAAAAATCTACATTAATATTTCTACTAAGACTAAAATATTTTTCATAGCTTATTTTATACAAAGAAAATCAGATATACTTCGTTTTAGCCGCCTTTTTTCAGTTCTCAATTACTCAAGTACAGTGCGTGGGTGTTAAATATTAGCAGATATTTTAGTGTCTATAGAATTATTTAAATATAACATTTTCAATAAATGAATATAAAAATAAAAGAAATGCTTTCATTTTGGTAAGTATTCGTGGCGTACTACACTCATTATATAATTAATGTGCTATTTAATATGTGTGTTCAAATAATTGCTGTTGGCTCTATACCAAATCGTCCTGTTAAAAAAAAAGTCAGTCGGAAGGCAGTAGGTATAAAAAATAAATATTCTACGGTTTTGTTCTTCATAAATATGTAACTGCTGCTTTTAATGTCAATTATATAAATAAGAGTATAAAACTGTACATATATACATATATATATATATATAATTATCTTGCAAGCACTTTTTAAAATGTTATATATGTTTATTTCTTACTATTTTGTTACAATTTAAATCCAATTATTTAAACAAATTAATATTGTCTACATATTATTGATATTTGTAATATAGCAGTGATTTGTTATTAATTATTTCAATCGATATTTTTATGTAAATATGGGTGAAACAGGAAATAAGATATAATTTGTTTCCACAGATTGGCCTGGTATCAGATGACCGAACATGTAGAGACCTGCAGCTACAGGAATATCACGCCATTGATGAGTCATTCATTCTCCCGCTGCTTCTTTCTACCTCCAGCAGGGTAAGTTTAATTAATTTCTGAAATCTTTATTTTGAATGAACTAATGAAGTTATTGGTATATATTACTCTTGCTTTTGAAAGAGTAAAATAAATAAAGATAATTATTTGGACGAGGACATGCCAGTTTGGGCGTGGTTCACAATCACTTCGATCACACTTCTTTCCGAGTTTATCCGGAAGATTGTTTTCACGAACAAGTGTGACCGAAGTGATTATGAACCACGCGTAACTCGTGCGGCACTCATCTAAATTATTACCTAAATAAATTTTTAGTAATCTACAACATCAGCAAAATAAGTTAAAATTAAATTGTTAAACTAATTGGAGAAAATATTATCCAAATTGACTTCGAAATCGACCTAATAATTGCCCAAATAACTTGAAATGATACTCAGAACAAACGACTGTATTTATAATATTAGTTTACATTTTTTTTATTAAAATAAACAAATTATTATATAATATGGAAATGTATGAAAACTTTTGCTGTATTTATACTTTATACATAAATTCGTCCTAAAAATATATGTATTGTTAAACTATTATTTTTGAGGAAATTGATATCTATTATTAGAAGGTATAATTATAATAGACTTCATCAATCAGAAGTTTAGATAAAAAAGAAAAATATTTTTACAGTGATTGTGCACCTGTCTTTACTCATCATGGAAAAAGTGAAAAGTCAATCAAAAATGGATATAAAAAAACAAATTCCTAAAAATTTAATTAACAGCGGCTGGTTGGTTATTAATTTTTCAATATTCAGAGAGGGCCAAATAATTGCAATTAGGTCAAGTGTGATTTAAGTAGGTAATTAATTCTGTGAAATTACTATAAAGACAAATAATGCCTCAGATTGGCTCAAAAAATGCCTTATTTTATCAGTGATAACGCATGATAAAGTGCCTCATTTTATCAGTGATAATTTATGAAAAACAATTAAAAATTGATGCTAAACGAAAAAAAAAAATGAAAAATGCTAACTTTTTTTAGCTATTCGTTGTTTGTTTCTAATATATTCATTTGTATTACAATAATAATGTAAAAACCACTAAGTTTGTGCCTCTTTTTTCTTAATCACAAGATTATTTTGTGATATCTTATGTGGATGTTATAAAACAGCCACTTCTTTTATCTAAAGCTAATTTCTCGCAAATTGAAATAAATTGAAATGTTTGAAAGTCACTTTTTTGCTAGAACTTTTCATCTTGACTATCAAACAATTTATGTTACAAAAAATCATTTTTTTTGGAACTCCTAAATCCTGAATTATTAATTAAACACATCAAAGTTTGATTTCGTCATGAAAACCGATAAATACGGTTTGGAGTGAATATAATATACCTAAGAAAAATTTAAATCATTATGAAATGATACGTTTTAATTTGTTTGTTGCCTCTACTCCGCGGGGTCATTGGCAACACCTTTTATTTACACCCTGTTATAGAATTTTATTCATTTTAAAAATTCAATCTTTTTTTAACAGCTACTTCCATGTCGTTCAAATTCTATTTTAGGGTTTGTACCATGTCTATTTTTTTCCTAACAGTTTAAAATATAAGGGAGTCTTGTATAATGTGTTTTACTGTCCTTCGGACAGTGCAGCTCTCGCAGGTCGGAGGATCAAGTCCTCTTAGTAGCTAGGCATGCGAGAACTCGGAATGTCCAATTATTAATCTGAAGAGGGCTGTTTCTTGTTTCTTGGAGGACCGACAAGAGTTTCTTTTATTTCTCTTAATTTTGACTCTTTACTCACTTATTATGCCAAATTTTACAAATATCATTCTTATATTTTTAAGTTTTCCTCCAAAATTTCATTAATTGATTCCACGGGAATTGTGCTAACCTTTCTTGTCATATTGGCTGCTAGATCAGCTTGTTCATTTCTGGTGAACTCCCCTTTGCGAAGAGACGAACACTACTTGTCCTTCTCCCATAGCAGCCACCTAACGTTTCTTATTTGTTTTGCTACGATTAATAAATTGAAATAAATTTTAAATTATGTTGCGCTCATTATACAACTTTTACTTACCATTCTATTTTGACCACAACTTTCCGACTCATATTCACTACCCAAATTGTACATGTCACCCCACCACCCATTACGGACGAATAACAAACTTAGTTTTGATTTCTCTCTGAAATCTGTGGCAAAATCAATTAATACTCCCTAAGTACTGAAATAAAATTTGTTAACCCTTCTTAACCGAAACTAAAATTTACTTGCATTTATTTTAATTAATAAGAGAAAGAAAATAAATATGGGGTATCAATACAGTTAAAACCTAGTTGAAAAAGTTATAAAGAAATTGAGTAAGTTGATTCCAGAGTAGGTGATTACAGAGTTGAGGAAATATAGAACCGTGAATAAAGTGGTTTATTAAATTTGTAGCAGATACTTATTATGTGTACGGACATTAGCATTTATTTATTTTTACAACTGTTTGAACTATTCAAAAGCTTTGGTCATTGTAGACATTAGGTCATTATTATTATTTTTTAAGAAATGAAAATAATTTCACTACCATATTCCTACTATTTTTCAAAATCCCCAAGACATCCCCTATCCTTTCATTCCCTGCAAGACATACTTTTCCCTCCTGTTCGTTTCCTTCAAGACATAATTTAGTTCAGCTTCATATGCACAGCACTCTGTCAAAATGTGCAACACCCTCAAATGTAACCCAGCAAGAGATTATTGATATATCAGGCACTCCATCCTTAAGTGAGTTAGAAATTATAAATGTTGAGGTTTTTTACAATTATTTGTTTCTCTAACCTGACAAAGCAATTTTTTTTTTTTTTTTTTTTTGTCTATTAAATATGTATTTGCGCCTGTCAACAATAAGTTGACAATCAGCAAATGTGATGGCGATAATGATAAAATGACATGACAGGCATGGGGAAGGAAAGTACTCAGCAGTACCTCTTCCATAACTTGTTCCAATTACTTAGGTTGTCTAAGGAAGGAGATCCCTCATCCAACGCCTTTTTAGTCTCCTGCTCAAGTAGATAGAATATACCAATCCTGGCGCAGGTCCTCGGTGCAAGATGGCGGCGCCCACCACCCGCCAAAAATTTCAGCCTTTAAACACTGCCTCGCTCATAACAAATCGCTCAAAAATTGTGACCTTCAAACACTGCTGCGCCCACTTCAAATCGTCCAGCAATTCTAGCCCTTAAACACCGCTTCCCACATTTAAACATTCCAGTCTTCACAGATCGCTTTCCCCATCTAAAATTACTGAGCCTCCAAACACTGTCACACAAGCCTTTTCACGCTATTACTATTGCTCTACCCGTGCAATTAATAGCGTTTGTGTTGTTAAATATTTTTGGTAGTAGATAGAATATACCAATCCTGGCGCAGGTCCTCGGTGCAAGATGGCGGCGCCCACCACCCGCCAAAAATTTCAGCCTTTAAACACTGCCTCGCTCATAACAAATCGCTCAAAAATTGTGACCTTCAAACACTGCTGCGCCCACTTCAAATCGTCCAGCAATTCTAGCCCTTAAACACCGCTTCCCACATTTAAACATTCCAGTCTTCACAGATCGCTTTCCCCATCTAAAATTACTGAGCCTCCAAACACTGTCACACAAGCCTTTTCACGCTATTACTATTGCTCTACCCGTGCAATTAATAGCGTTTGTGTTGTTAAATATTTTTGGTGGTGGTGATAAACCACACGAACACATCAAACAGTTATTTTACTAGCTGGCAGCAGAAGCAGGACCTCTACTGAAGATTTCTATTGCCAGATTGCCAGCTCCTTACTTAGATTGCGCCTTTACGCTGTTGGGGTCCATTCATATCACTTGGAACTAACCTTGACAGCTAAACGGGCAGCATCGCTCTGGTAAGGAGACCCCAACGTGATGGCCTGCCACGACACCCATATGGAGGCTGAGGAGGATGCGAGGGGCGAGAAAAGATCAGGAGGTGCCGAAGTTTACCAAGAGCCACCAAAGCGACACCAGATAAAGGGCCGCGCAGAGGTCACCGTACCTGTTGGAATTCCGGTTTCAAACCGCTACGAGACTCTTGCGCCCCAGGAACCAGATGTTACCCAAAATGAAAAGATCCGACCGCCTCCACCCATCATAATCAAGCCACCTATTTCACTGACATCGCTGAGAATTCTACTAAGAGAGCTCAACATAGAGGAATACTCTTCCAATTCTTCTAAGCAAGAAACCAGATTGTACCTTGCTACTGAGGTGGATCATAACACAGCTCTCCAGGCACTTCTACGTGAGAAAAAGGTAGAATTCCACACCTTTGCCCCGCGTGGAACCAAAAGAACCCAAAAATTTGTCCTTTATGGCTTTGATGTAGATTACGACGTCAAAGACATAATCGATGAGTTAAAAAGAGTACTACCAGGCTTCAGACTCGCCAGAAGGTTAACAAAACAAGCCCCGAATGGTGAAAGATATGACATCGAAGCCATTCAGATAATAGTAGATCATTTTAGTAGATAGAATATACCAATCCTGGCGCAGGTCCTCGGTGCAAGATGGCGGCGCCCACCACCCGCCAAAAATTTCAGCCTTTAAACACTGCCTCGCTCATAACAAATCGCTCAAAAATTGTGACCTTCAAACACTGCTGCGCCCACTTCAAATCGTCCAGCAATTCTAGCCCTTAAACACCGCTTCCCACATTTAAACATTCCAGTCTTCACAGATCGCTTTCCCCATCTAAAATTACTGAGCCTCCAAACTGGTGGTGATAAACCACACGAACACATCAAACAGTTATTTTACTAGCTGGCAGCAGAAGCAGGACCTCTACTGAAGATTTCTATTGCCAGATTGCCAGCTCCTTACTTAGATTGCGCCTTTACGCTGTTGGGGTCCATTCATATCACTTGGAACTAACCTTGACAGCTAAACGGGCAGCATCGCTCTGGTAAGGAGACCCCAACGTGATGGCCTGCCACGACACCCATATGGAGGCTGAGGAGGATGCGAGGGGCGAGAAAAGATCAGGAGGT